GAGAGAAGAAGACATGGAAGGTAGACAATGCAGTAGCACTCTCATGTGTTTAACGTCTGCTTCACTCAAATGGAAAAACTTGTCAATCTTTTCATTTGTACCCTCTTAATTCTTTAAATACGACCCGCTTTCATATTTATAATTGTTATTGCAATAATTTGTTAAAGCTGTTAAGCTCAAATATTTAACGATGCAATAGGATAATTTCCACGTGTATTTTATAGTCGTACATCTCATAAGGAGTTCAATCAATTATACAATCATTAATTAAAATTAAGGATTAAGATTCATTAGAAAATTCAAAAACGTAAAGAAGGAATGTTTCACGGGTATTTTTGTGATAATTTATTCGGTAATTTAAGTAAATAAAACTACACCGCTTCCGTTTACATTTAAATGGTCCTGTGATTGTATTGTGTTACAAATAGTGAAGTCACAATTTAATATTGAAATAAATAAACAATAACATACCACGAAGGCTAAAAATGATCGCCGTCACAGTGAAAAATAATAGCTTACGATGTTTTCGCTTTGAATATCGCAATACTTCTCATAGATCTTATTGGAATGTTACGTTGAACGGTTTAATCTACTAAGGGGAGATAACTCGTCTAAACAAATCGTTAATTTTGTACCACCATAAAGATTGCTCGTCTTTACGTTATTCTTTCATAAGCTGGCTGTATATCCTTGTTCAAACAAATGCCTTTACGAAAGGTATATAGTCACCTCTCCTTTCCGCCAGACCAGCTATGAGTTAAATAGCAAAGTAGACTTGGCTTTATAAAATTAGGTGGCAACAATTCTGGAGAATTCGGAATTCCAAACTAATAAAAAGTAAAGAGGAAACTACTCCATTGTCTTTCAAAAAAACATAACACTTTACAGGTAAAAAAAAAGACGCAGACAGCAACGATCGCGTACGTACTGAACAGTCAGAAGATAAGTCATTTTGTTTATTTTTGTTAACTTTTCTATACACAGCTAATGTTTATCAATAATGACTTCAATTTATTCTGGTGTTGATTTTTCTCATAAAATATATGTTTTTTGTCATTCAAATGTGATTGGCCCTGATCTGGCATCTCGTTTACAGTCGCCCTCTCACAGACGTGTCGTCGCCACCCTCTGTCTTTTCTACAAATTCTTTCACCGTAACTGCTCTGAGGAGCTACTTTCGCTAGTTCCCAAACTGCATGAACTTAAACGTGCTATAAAGTTGTCATCTCAGTCCCAGTCATTAACTGTTGAAACGTCTAAATGTAGCCGTCTCTTCTACTTTAATAGCTTCATGTCTCGCACTTCCCGTCTGTCGAACTCCATTCCTCTTACTTGCTTCCTTGATAGCTATAATCTCCAACTATTCAAATGCATTGTCAATTGACATCTCCAGATGCCTTGATCTATTCCCCGTCCTTCTCTTCGTCCTTTCCTCTACCACGCCTCTTTAACTCTTACTCCCACTCTCAGTAACCCCTTGCATGCTAGTGGCACTCCCAATAAAAAGCTTTAAAATATATATATATCTCAAACACTCTTACAATGCTCTGGAAAGTTTTATCAGTGAGATTTATTTATTGTGTCATTGGGGATTTCGGTCCTATGTGACTGCCTCTCTCAGGCCATCCAACCAAGTGCGATCATCCCCTGGTCAGCTTACCCGGCCCCTATCGGTATGAATATATAGATATATTAGGACCTTGAATACGTTTTCGCTGTTTTCCAACAGATGTCGCTCCCAGAACTACGTGGGTGTAGTTTCAGATGGTAACGGATCTCGTAAGAAGTATCAGTAAGCTTGAAATTCAGTGTATGTCATTTCACCGAAGTGTAAAAAACTTTGTTTTTCATAGCGCTAAACATGTCAGATTTCGTACCCAAGAAAGTGTATCTGAGGGGGAATTTTATTGAACTACTTTATTCAAAAGAAATTTGCAGCTGAAGCACACAAAATTCTTGTTGAGTCATACGGCGACCATGCTCTGTCGGAAACAACATGCTGAAATTGGTTTAGACGCTTCAAAAAATAATGGTCCTGATGTTGAAGATAAAGTATGTTCTGGCGCACAGGAAAAGTTTGAAGACGAAGAATTGGGGCATTACTTCATGAAGACTCATGTCAGGCCCAACTGAACTTGCAAGATCATTAGAAGTTGATCACACGACAGTTTCGAAACGTTTGAAAGCATTAGGAATGATTCAAAAGCAAGGACATTGGCTGCCGTACGAGTTGAAGCCAAGAAACTTCAAACGGCATTTTGTCACGTATGAACAGCAGTTTGAACGGCAGAAAAAGGAAAGTTTTTTTTTTTTGCATCGTATTGCGGCCGGCGATGAAAAGTGGATACACTACGATAACCCTAAGCGTAAAAGAATCCCGGACATGCATCAACATCGGCGGCAAAGCCGAATATCCAATGGTTCGAAGCTTCTGCTCTGCATTTGGTGGGATCAGCAGGATGGAGTTTATTATGAGCTGCTCAAACCGACCGAACCCATTACGGACAATCAATATCGACTACAACTGATTCGTTTAAGCCGAGCATGGAAGAAAAACGGCCGCTATACGTGCAGAGACACGACGAAGTTATTTTGCTACATGACAACGTTAGGCCACATGTTGCAAAACGGGTGAAAACCTACTTGGAAAAGCTTAAATGGGAACTCCTACCCGACCCGCTGCATTTACCAAACATTGTTCCGTCCAATTATCATTTGTTCCGATCGATGGCCCATGGCCTGGCTGAGCAGCACTTTTATTCTTATGAAGATACCAAAAAATGGGTTGACTCGTGGTTAGCCTCCAAAGACGTGTCGTTTTTCCGGCTTAGAATTCAAATGCTGCCAGAGAGATGGGAAAAAGTAATGCCTAGCACTAGACAATACTTTCAATGACATGTTTCTTCCTAGTTTTTTCTAAATAAAACATGACTTTTCATGAAAAACCAGCGGGAACTTATTAAAGGTCCTAATAATTTCAGTTTGACCGTTCAAATCAGGTCACCTTGGGTGATTTGGAATTAATTCCAGCAAACATGAGAATGCCAGAATTAACCAAAAGCAGTTACGCAAACATACACATAACACAATCCCTGAAAACGATTTTACCAACACTCGAAAGTACTCGGGAAAACATAATATGAAATAAAAATATATAAGAACTTTGACAAATTTACCAATTACGTAAAACATCTAATTCTGAAATTTAAAAAAAGTTAATTAAAAATTTAATAGACAAGACTTGTAGATATTATATATTTTGTTACTTAGCTGATTGTTGTTACCTTCAGCATTCCGACTCCAGAGTTTCGTAAACGGAATTGTCCATCCAGTATGTTTCAGCAATTTATACTTATAGTTCACGATTTTTTTAATATATATATATATATACTTATTATTGGTTTTCGGGGGGGAGGTCACACTGCACGTTGCGTGTATTCGTTCTCACGTGTGCGCCCATAAAGACAAAAGGAAAACTTATCCCTGACGACGCGTTTCATCTGGCCTTCTTCAGGTAATAGGAATTTCGATCTGTACCCTTTATTCCGTCCTCTGGGATAGATTGTTCTAGTTCAACGTGCCATGTCTCTTTCGGATGTCTCAGTTATCTCCCTTTAACTCAACTCTCCAAGATTTTGTTCACCACTGCAGTAGCCAAGTATTGAACTCACAACTATCTGGTTCAAGTCACTGGATCCAACCAACGATTTTATTCACAGGAATGTGAATGTCATATATCAAACCAAATAAACAAGGGAAGAATATCTACATAAGCGTTATTGAGCCAATCCTCAACGACACAGCTGTCTGGGTAAGTCATTGGATCCAACCAACGGCTTTTATCTACTGGTCTATGTGTTTTTGAAGGTTAGTTCGATGACGCTTGTGTAGACGTTCTTTCCATGTTTTATTTGGGCTGACATATAACTTACACATTCCTGAGTTGCCTAGTAAAGTCAATGAGAACCACTTCGATTTCCTCTAACCTCCCCTTGCAAATATCGTGACAAATATCTTCAGAAACGCCAACATACAGATTGACTATTCTGGTTTCGTTTCGAAATTCAAACAAATTTTACTGGAAGAAAGCCGGAGAGTACAACCGCCGAAACGTTGTGAATGTGGCAATAAAGATGAGGACAACAGTTCGAATAATGTAAATAGTATAAGTAATTCCTCAGAGGAGGCACGGTGAAGTAATGGATAGCGGCTCGAATCGGAGAGCCGAGTTCGAATTCCAGTTGAATCCATTACATTCACTTACGTGCTAATACTCTTAGGAAAGGTATGAATCTTCTTCTTCCCCCAGCTATGGGTAAATAGCAGGATAGACTGGGTTCTATAGCTTTGGATGGCAACTGGTCTACCCCAGAAAGAAATGGCAACCTACTGCGGGAAAACTTGCCTCGTCAGTCATGTATCGAAAGATACGTGAACGCCTAAGCGTGTATCACGCATGGCACATAACTGACTGAATTCCTCGTCACTAACGTGGAAATTAGTCTGTTTTCCTCTTATTAATTCTATTGAATCTCACCAAAAATCAGACATCACTATCATTACTCAGTTTTACCATTTTCTTTATATTTTAAATGTTATAAGAGACCTCTCTTTTATTGCCATATCCGTTCAGGGCATAGGCAATGATGACCCCGCAAATTACTTTTTTTATCTTTGAATATCCTTAACTTCTTGTGAAATATTGTTGAGTAGTTTCCAATTGACTTTTCCACTTTTCTGAAATCAGAATCGTGTTTCTTCGATATTTTAGCTAGCTTGAATTTCTTTTTATCCGTCTCCACCTTATTGAATATGTTTACAAACTAAATTTCCAAAAGAAGAAAACTTATTTGTGTGGTTTATCAGTTCGCTTCAAGTTGCCTTTAAAATGAAACTGGACATTACGTTTAGTTGACAAATAAACCTGATAAAATGTATAGTTACAGAAATATTTAGTTTTAGGTTAAATAATAAACATGTAAATAAAACTGTAGACTTACTTTTGGGTTTTTGACGAGAAATCCAGTGACTTCTTCGATATGAAAAGTCCCGCTTTCCATTTTCTTCAGTAGAGGAATCATCGTTCAGTTGTTGTACCTTTTACAGCGCAGATTGTTTCAATGAAACTCGGATAGGTTGCACGTTGCGTTTATGGTTTTATGGGTAATGCTGTCTGTTCTGACGTGAAAAAAAGCAACCAATGAGATGTGCAAATTCAAGCATATATTAACTAACACACACACATACAAGGACAGTGGATGTGTATGGGTGTGCGTGAGCACGTATGTATGTGTGATGTACTCTCTCAAATATGTCAGCAGATATGAACTGTTAAATGAATACTATTATTTATAATGGTAAAATGACTTATAGGAAATACTCGAACAAAGTGTGCAAGATAGAATTTGGAAAAACCGGTGGCATGTTTTTTAATGTTTTATTTTGTTGTCAACGTTTCACTCAGTAAAAATATCATCAGAATAACTGAAAAAATCTAAAGAAAAAAACGTTGCCATTGCAAAACAGACAGTTAAAAACCCTATATTTAACTTGAAAAAATTAACAGTTAAAAGAATTTGCGAATAAATATCTGAACAAAGAACTGAGATTTGTACATAGGAAAATATATATTTTTTAAATATTATTTCTGAATTTCCCGGATGAGGAGTTAGACTATTTACAATTTGCGTTGTGATTAGAGCAGCAAAGATAAGGACGATAGTACAAATGTAAATAGTCTAAATAATAAGAATATATATATATATATATATATATATATATATATATATATAAGACATCGCGTATTGAGTGCTGGTGTTAATAAAATGGTGGTCGAAAATATATATATATATATATATGAAGTCAACACCCAGAAGTGACAGTCTGTTTCATGATAAACGCAATCGCCATGATTGCCTTTAGCATGAAACAGACAGTCGTCACTGGGTGTTGACTTCAATGTCTACTTTTATTTACATAAGTCTATCCCTAATATTGAGCACTTTAATCAACACACACACACACACACACACATATATATATATATATATATATATATATATATATATATATATATATATATATATGAAGACATATAGTTAAGGTGTATAAAATTTATGGGATAAAGTGCTCAATATCAGAGATAGAGCGTATGTAATATAATATAAAAGTGAACATTGAAGTCAACACTCAGAGGCGACAGGCTGTTTCATGCTGGGCGCAGTCCTCAGCTTGACGATTGCGTACAGCATGAAACAGCCTGTCGCCTCTGAGTGTTGACTTCAGTGTTCACTTTTATATATATATATATATATATATATATATATATATATATATATATATATATATATTATTATTCTTATATATTACTCATTAATTATGATTTTTATGGGAGAAAATGTGGTTAAGGTATTTTAAATTCTAAGGTAATTGGGTTTATCTACTATTATTCGTGTATATAGAGTATTGCTGCCATATATGGCCCGGTGCCCCTTCTGTTTGTCTTAAGGTTCTTGATAAGATCCAGAGACGGATATGCAATGTAATTGGCCCTGATCTGGCATCTCGTCTGCAGTCACGTGCCGTCGCCTCCCTCTCTCTTTTTTTACAAATACTTTAATGGTAACTGGTCCGATGATCTGCTTTCGCTGGTTCCCAGGCTTCATGAATTTAAGCGTTCAACTAGGCTGGCATCTAACTTTCACACTTTCACTATCAAAACTGTTAAATGTAGCCATCTCTTCTACTCCAATATTTTCATGTCTCGCACCTCTCGCCTGTGGAACTCCCTCCCCTTTTCCTGATTCCCTGGTAGCTATAATCTCCAACTATTCAAATGTAATGTCAATCGACGTCTCCAGATGCCTTGATCTATCCCCTAACCTTCTCTTCATCCTTTTCTCTATCACTCCTATTTGCTCTCACTCTAACTCTCTGTAAACCCTTGTGTGCTAGTGGCTTCCCGCCTTGCTTGGGGTGAAACGCTTAAAAAAATAAAATATGGATTTCTTGGTAAAAATAGATATCTAGAATCTTTAGAAGATATTATTTTCACATTTATTATTGGTGTGTCTGATTTTTTTACGTTTACAGTCCATATGTCTATTTAGAGCTTTCTTTTTCCGGTTAGTATGAAATAAGTAAATGTAATACAGTGATGTGTATGGCTTTCCAATACATTTAAGTTCTTCATATAGATGGTGGCATTTTAAATGCTCTGAAACACAAATATATTATTATACTGGTTTTAGTTTTATTGCTATGATTTGAGTAAAAAATGTATATACTCTTTTTTAATTGTTGAATTTCGATTTACTCGGAATTCTAAATTATTATTGGATCTATTTATTAAAATACCAAAAGAAATGTCGTGAATTACTGTTCCCAGTTTTATAGATAAATTTAATGGTTGATCTAATCATTTTGAGTCTGTAAAATTATTGAGACATCATGGACATATTTGTGACATCATGAATTTTTTTTAGGAATGATGTAATGAAATTGGTTTGATTCTGCAAATATTGAAAGTAAGTATGTTACACGACAATTAAGATGGCTACCAGTAATATAATATTTGTTGTTGAATTTGAAATAACATAGATTACTGAGTAGTCAGCATATACTGGTAAAAGTATCAATAGGTGGAAAATTATTTTTCTTTAGACTAATGTCTTTATCATTGTCCTTTCACTACGCTTTTAGCCAGGCTTGCTTCTGTTGCCTGTTCTAGAAGGTAGCATATTGTCTCTTGCCTTATATGGCAATCAAACTAGGAGAAACTTTTTTAATTTACAACCAGAGAGAAGATGACGGGAAACCACTCTTCTATTTTCAACAAAATGCAATGGCTATTCACAGATGATAATAATAATAATAATAATAATAATAATGATAAAAACCTATAAAGGGCCTTGAAATCGAAATCTCAGAAATGTGACACAAGAAAACATCAACAATCCCTTTTGCAGTTGGAACCCGAGGATTGGTTGTAAAAGATTCCACTAGACTCATTGAAGGGATTCGTGGAAGCCCATGCCTTAAAGAAATACAAAAAAAAAATTATACTCACGGGTACAGCCCACACCTTACGAAGGGCTTTATCTATGTAAAATATGTGTTTTGTTTGTTTTTTGTTTTTGTTTTTGTTTCGTTTTGTTCTTGTTCTTTTCAAAATTGCTCAGTGGAAAATATCATGATGCCATTTCTGACCTTAGGTCTCTGGTCGGGACCCGGAAAGAAATGAATATACACCAGAAATCAAAGGAAATAATAATAATAATAATAATAATAATAATAATAATCTGCATTGGAAAATCTGCAACTTCTACAGGAAGGAAACTGAAAGCAACTGGTATGAACACCACACAGACCCGGTTACGGAGGTAGGACCTGTTACAATTCTATGGGACTACACAATACACACTGAGAGAACAATCAAAGCCAACCGTCCATACATTGTTATTAAAGACCACAAGCAATAAAAGTGTCTCCTTATTGATATGGCAGTCCCTGCTGACTGCAATGTATCTTTGAAGATATTCAAAAAGTTGTCAAAATACAAGGAACTTGAAATAGAAATCTCAAAAATGTGGTATATGGGAACATCAACAATCCCTGTTGGTTGGGAAAGATTCCAGCAGACTAATTGAAGGGGTTCCTGGAAGTCCATGCCTCAAAGAGATACATAAAATTGTTCTCACGAGTACAGCCCACACTTTACGAAGGGCTTTATCTATGTAATTTTTTTTTTTTTTTTGTCAGTGGAAAGTGTCATGATGCCATTTTAACCTTAGGTCCCTGAGCGGGACCAGAAAAGATATGTGTAAACGCCAGAAATCAAAGAAAATAATAATAATAATAATAATAATAATAATAATCTGCACTGGAAAATCTACAAACTTTACGGGAAAGAAACTGAGAGAAATTGGTATGAACACCACCCGGACCCGCTCACGGAAAAAGGACCTGTTACAATTTTATGGGACTACACAACACACACAGACAGAAGAATCAAAGCTAATCGCGCAGACATTGTTATTAGAGACTACAAACAAAAAAAAGTGACTCCGTATTGATATGGAAGTCCCTGCGGACAAGTAATATATCTTTGAAGATCTTCAAACAGCTGTCAAAATACAAGGACCTTGAAATCGAATTCTCAAAAATGTAGCACATGGGAACATCCACAATCCCTGTTGTACTTGAAGTCCTCGGATTGGTTGGAAAAGATTCCAGTAGACAATTTGAAGGGATTCCTGGAAGCCCATGCCTTAAAGAAATACAAAACATTGTTCTCACGAATACAGCCCACACCTTACGAAGGACTTTATCTATGTAATTTTTTTTTTTTTTGTCAGTGGAAAATATCATTGTGCCATTTTGATCTTAGGTCTCTGGAAAGGATCATGAAAGAAATGAGTACACACCAGAAATCAAAGGAAATTAAATAATAATAACATTGTAGCTATCCTCATGGACATACCAATTCAAACTGACATGGAGATAAAAATGAATATACCCACAAACATAACAAGGTAGCAATATATGTGCACTGGAAGATTTGTAAGAAGCACGAAATCGAAACCACTGAGAGATGGTGTGAACACCAGCCAGATACAGTTACCCAAAATAACGATGTAACTATCCTCTGGGACATGACAGGGAAATAAAAACCAACAGATCTGATATTATCATAAAAGACAATAAATCAAGGAAGTGTATGCTTATTGACAGAGCAGTACCATTTGAGAGAAACACCTCCATGAAAATTATCGAGAAATTGTCCAAATACAAGGACCTGGAAATTGAGATTAACAGGATGTGTGGAATAAAGACTGAAACTGTACCAATAGTAATCGGAGATCTGGGCCTCGTGAGAAAAGGAATAGGCAATTTTACTAAGAGTGTCCCAAGTAACATCAACATATAAGTTGCCGAGAAGATCGGCCTGCTAAGAACATCCAATATACGAAGAAAAGTGCTCTCAGTTAAATGACAATTTTCCTATAGGTCCTAAGGACCATACTTTGGACTCGGCTCTAAAGGATACAAAGCAGGGAACGTAACATACACAAATAATAAT